CTATGAACCTTATGTCATTTCCATGTCTGTTTCTATTTAGAGAGTTTTTGAAAGAAAAATTTACTCTACTATTTAACTTTTTATGAAAATTTATTATATATTGGAAAAGAAATATAAGGCGTTACACAAGTTATGCATCAATTTATTAACCTTTGTGTTATATCTACATAATTACATTATAATAAAAAAAATTAAACAAATCTCTTACTAGGAGTCATTGTAGCCCTTTGTCTTTTTGCTCCACTTAAACCAAAGAAACCTTCAGCTCTTCTATATGTTAACAATTGAATTGTAGCATTGTCTACATCATCTTCACTTGTACATAGCCTCTCAATACATGTATACAAGCCCTCCACAACTTCAGGATCATTCTCAATTTGTTTATTACTATAAAAAAATTGAGGATTTAGATAATAACCTACAGCATGTAATGGATGATGAAGCTAACACTCCCATCTTCTATCAATTATAGCAAAAATCTCCTTATATTTGTCTACATTTCCTTTGAATGCTTTCTTTAGCTCTATCAATTTCCTCATATATATAATCCATTGCAGGCTTTCTTTCATTATCAACAAGTCTCAAAACTTGCACAAGTGGCCCCATAGCCTTAAGACTGAAAACCACATCATTCCAAAAAGAAGGCATAAGCACAGTGTCTATTGCCCTTTTTCCTTTAGCTTCTTTGGCTGATTTGGACTTTAACCACTCATCGGAAGTGAACATTTTTCTAAGGTTATTTTTTTTTTTATTATGCAACCTTTGTAATGTGAGGAATGTTGTGGCAAACCTTGTCACTCTATATCTAACCAATTCAGCTTTATTTGTGAACCGCCTTGTAATGTTCAAAGTCCATGAATTATTATAAATAAAACTCACAAGAGTAACACCCCTTTGGATTGTTCTCTTGACTCTATGTATTTTTCCAATGTCTTCTAATATCAAGTCAATACAGTGTGCAATGCATGAAGTCCAAACCAAATGTGGTCTTTTAGCTTGCAAAAACTTACCTAAAATAAAATTGCATAGTCTAAAATTAGAAACTAATAAAATAATTAGAAACTGATATTAATAGAGAGAGTTAAGAATAATTCTTACCGACTAATACATAATTACTTCTATTATCAATAACTACTTGCACAACATTTTTCTCTCCAATCTCTTCAACAAAGCTATCCAAGCGCTCAAACAAATTTTCTCCAGTTTTCATATAAGCAGATGCATCAATGCTCTTTACAAACATAGAACAAGCTGGACAATTTACTAAGAAATTGATCAATGTTCTATTTTTTTTTTTATCTGTCCACGCATCTGACATAATTGAACATCCACATTTTTCTTTCTTTTTCACGACTTTTCAACATTTCCTTTGTATACTCTAACTCTTTTTAAGAAGAGGAACTCTACACTCATGATAACTAGGAGGCTTTAGATGTGGACCATAGTTTCCAATAGCTTCAACCATTAATTTGAAACTTTTTTAGCGTACAACGTTAAAAGCAATTCCATTCCTACAAAGAAATTGCTTTATGTATTGAATTGTTCTTACTCTTGCCTCTTTGACACAAGCATCATTTATACTTGTTTGTCTTTTTGTTTTTGCTAATTTGATGCTTGTTTCTGGACTCTTTAACCACAATAAATCTAATGGACCCTTGACATTTTTTCCTTTTTTGGTGGCATTACAACCACTAACATAAGCTGATGCAACACTTGAGGTTGCAAGTCATTTTTCACTACGAATATTTTGAATTTCTTGCACCTCTTCTTCCTCATCATCATCTTCATCATGCTGAAATAAATATACCTCTTTTTCAACTTTCTTCTTCTCATGAGTTGCTATTAGTGTTTCTTTTATTTCTTTGGGAATCCTTGGACACTTATGAACATCTCCCTTCATTCCCATATGGTGCCTCTTTGTTCGGATAATACCGCCTGTAGTCGTTTTTCCACAAAAGTCACAAGTAATATACTTTTTATTATTTATGTCTTTTAAACTATTCCATTGCCAACCTATATCCAAATTATTTCCTAAAGGCTTCACTAATGCACAGGATGAAATAAACAGAGTCAGTTCCTTGTGACTGATTGGGAGGAGTAGCTATTACTTCTTCTTTTAAGCTTTGAAATTTTGAACAAAAAATAATAGAAGAATCAAAACAGAGAAGAGAAAAAAAATAGAGAAAAATATAGGGAAAAAAAATTGTTCAGTCACCAGAAAGTTTGCTAGAAGTCTACCGGAGTTGGAGAAGATGATCGAAAAGTATTTCAGTAATGTCAAAAGTTGTGCTGACCTTGAAGAAGATGACAAGAGATGAAGAAAATGACTCAAAATAATTTGGGTCACCTTAGAAGCTCAACGGAAACGAAGAAGATTACCGAAAAATCAAAGTTTGGATATTGATTTTGTATTTCGTTTGGAACTTTATGTTGGACATGTTCTTAATATTCATATTTTAAAGTATTGTGGTTTGAATTAATGTTTTTATTTTCTTCCTATTTATACTATTTTATATGTATATATATAATTTTGTAGGATCTTACGTTTCGTGTTACGATCCTCCAAGTTACGATCCTGAACCCCCTCTCCGATCCTACGTAAAATCTCGATTTTGACTACTATGGTCTCCATTATGCTGGTTCGAGAATAGAGGAAAAACTTTAATAAGACCTGAATTGATACAATGAACCTTTGATCAAATAAGACTGGTAAAAAAAAAATTAAAATTTGCACAAAGTAGGCAAAAGAGCTATGCAGATACTAGAAGACAATCTCTAGAATTTTAGGACAAAGAACATGTATTCCTTAGAGTCACACCTACAATGGGTATTGGCAAAGCACTGAAAACAAACAAATTAAGTCCTCAATTTGTTAGGCCATTTCAAATCCTTCAAAAGATAGGCCCAGTGGCTTATTGCATTGCTTTACCATGGCATTTGTCCAAATTACATAATGTTTTCCATGCCTCTCACTAAGAAAATATTGTCATTACCCTTCACAAATCATTGAGAATGAATTGATACAGCTAAACGATAAATTGACACATGAGGTGTACCCTGTACAAATCATTGGAAGGGATACAAAGAAATTGAGAAATAAAGAAATTCCTATGGTCAATGTCTTATGGCAAGGACAAAGTGAAGAGAAGGCAACTTGGGAAATTGAAGAGGAGGTTAAGAAAAAATATCTGTAGTTTAATAAATTTTGAGGACAAAATTTTAAATAAAGGAGAAATTGTAAGTTATTCAATAATAATAATAATAATAATAACAAAAATAACAATAAATAGCTATATGATAAATCAATATATATTTTGTATACTCTAAAAGTTTAATATAGGTGTATATCACCTCTAAGCAGAAGAAGTGCATGAGTACCATATTAGTCAACATGAAATTTGGATGATGGAATAATCTAATTAATACATTTAAACAATTATAATTAAAATAGTAACTAAAAAGAAATAAGTCAAGAAGGATAAGGAACCGTATGAATGAAAAAATTACGGTAGTAGTTGTCCAAAATAATCAAATTGAGTATAGAATTTCTTAATTAATGTGTCTAAGTCATTATTATCATTAAGTGGCATAATATTAGTGAATCAGATAATATGTTGCACTATTTTAAAAAATCACTGTAGCACTCAGTTAACACATGTAAAGTAACAAACAGTGAAAAATATTTTATAGCCACGTGTGTAACACCTATTGAAATTTCACCAACCTTCTACAGCTATATATAATGAACTCTCTAAATTTACCACACCAACACACAACTTACTAAAAACACATTTTCAATACAAGTCTTTCTCTATTCATTACCACTTCAGAAGATAAGAACTATCACTTTATTGTCACTTGAGGATTACTCTCATCTGCAACAAAGTTCATTGTTTTAAATCTGCCAAGGTATGAAAACTAAAAATGGCTCAATTCTTTAGTTGTTTTTTTTCTATTTCTAAGATTAAGGTGTCTTTTTATTAAAAAAAAATTGTCAAATTTGTTTGTTTTTTAATATGTTACCCTGTATATTTAAGTTTTTCATTTTTAGAATGAATTTTTATAGTAGAAAACTGGTGAGCAGAAATGTCTCTGATTCTGGAAAGAATTATTGTGTACTACCTATGGCCATAGAAGGACATAAAAGGGGAACTCCCTCAATTGGAGCTTAGAAAATTTAAGTTATGAATGCACAAAGTAACAGAATAAAATACAGAAAAGGGGATGGAAGATTAACTCCAGAGTAATCAGAATTAGTTTTATAGAAGAAAGAAAAACTTTTATACATGTTCAGAAACAGGAAAATGTTAAAGAAATCTAAGAAATTTTTATTTTTCTACTTAGATGTTTATCTCACTTTGTTGTTGTTATTACAATGACACAACTAACTTTTTATCTTGACGTGTTTTATATATGAGTGATGATTCCTAAGTTAGAACTAATCCTACTTGCTGTGATAGATTTTAGGATTACCATGGTGGAAGTCTTTGATGTTTATGAAGAATATGAATGGCTCCCTAATCTTAATTTTTTTTATAAATAATAATAAAAATTTACAAATCATCTTTTAAGGTTGTTTTTAAGACATTACAAAACCAAAATAAAAAATAAGAGAACTAAAATTTTACAAAAACTAAAAAAACTAAACGTATTTAATCTTTTTTTTTTAACCAAATAACCACCTTATAAATATATTACTCATTTAATTTCTTTAAATATTATATAATTTGTTATTTGATCCTTTTAAATATTACAAAATTTTCATTTGATTCTCATAAATACTTCATTTGATCTCCTAAATAATAAACTTGCAAAATTTAGGTGGACCAAATGAAAATATAAATAAATGGAAGAAACATTTTGTAACAAAATAAATTTATGATAAACTCATTCAGAAAAAATTAAAAATGAAAGACTAAATAGAAAAATTATGAATTTTCTAGTACCTGCACTTTAGCTAAGTCAATTGAAAATTATAATTCAGTCATAATTCATATATTACAAACAACCATATTCTATTGCAAAGATTTCATACATTGGCTAAACATCCAGTGTTTTCACAAACTTAGCATATAAATCGAAACGATATTACAGCTGATAATCCATTCTACAAGGCAGAGTTAGGAGAGTGCATACAAAGTTAGCAAAAATGGCTAATCCTGCCAACTTTGCAAGAACTTTGTTTTGTATAAACCCAGTCCCTAATAGGTGAGGGTAAACAATTTGAATGTATCAATGACAGAAATGCATTTTCACAACCTATCAACGTGATCTCTTGTTAATGGCATCTTACCTCCAACTGCGATGATGGCGATCGTCCCACCTGTCCATATACCGTGACGAAAGATCTCGGTCTCTGTCATACAGGCTTTCTGAGGACCAGTTTCCAAGTCTATCAGAATCTCGGTCCACCGGCAAAAAATGCCTCTCTGAAGAGGAATAATGAAGAGAATGGAAAGAAAAGGGCTTTGGGGATTCTTCATCATGCAAAGGACTTCTACTCCAGTCATACTGGGACCTTCCCCTTGAAGGACTTCTTGGTATAGAATCATGGCCACCATATCTAGGATGAAAACTAAACCTGGATGAACTATATCCTGGGTCCCCTGGAGGACCATCTTCCCTAAGATCCCCTGATCTATGTTCACGATGATATTCTCTTCCACCGTGATCACTATTATAATTGGACCTGTGCTGTGACCAGTTTCTTGAAGTATCTGAGCTTGAGGGTCCAGCCCTAGCAGACCACAATCTTTCGTCGGCATTTTCTGGAATAGGAGCATTTATTCCTGGAAATTCAACCGTCATTTTCCGTTTGGGTTTTGAACAATCGGCCTCCATAATTTCGCCATCCTCCTGCTCTGCAATCTCCCTATCAGTGTATATTGTAATGCCTGAAGGCTGATCCTCATCATCCACATCTACATTCCAAACATAAATCATGCAGATAATTAATTTGACATAAAAAAAATGGAAAAAAGGATATATATATATATATATATATATATATATATATATATATATATCAATCAGTAAAATAGCAAGCAAAAAATAAAAAATAATCAAGAAACTTTAAATATTGAAATAACAGTGCATTTTCATTAAGTTTTGAAAGACACTTGTGCAACCATAACAGATTTTTCAAAACTGTCCAGCAACTTATGGATAAAGGATTAAATTTAAACAACGAACTAGATACATATGCACCACAAAGAACACAAAATGACCTTTAGGATAGTAGGCAATGTATTGTCAGGAAAAAAATGAAATTGAGGTCAAAGCAATGAGTTTTACCAAGATATCCAGGTGGGTATCCTATTTCTCGCATTCTGTTAAGCCATGGAGGTGGATCAAGCTCCTGCATTAAAGAAAACATAAGTTTATTCCAATAATTTTCTTTAACATATACAGCCACTCTACAATTTAGAGGTCGAGTGACTTTATCAAGTTCCATTGAATATAATAATTTATTAGAAGATATTGTGTATACACACAAATATGTACACAGTTAAGGAGTAGCATGCATAAAGTTGCAGGGGGAGTCTTAAAAGGATTAAGAGAAGCATTTCTTCTTGTGAATATAATATTGACAACAGAAGAGTGTTCTGATTTGGGTTTTAGTTTGGAATTTAGTGAGCAACTTTGCTGCTTTACTGCATTTTGGCTGTTTCCTAGCAATTTTCTGGCATGAAGAATGTTGGTTTGAGTTATATAGTGGAGATAGCAGTCAATTAATTTTGATGGGGTGCTCTAACACTTCGGAGATGTGGCTGAGAAGTGTACATAATTGTCAGAACATAAAGGGTCTAATACAGGATGATGTTTTGAATCTTTGATAAGTATTTTTGGCTTTTTGGTTGGAAATCCAAAGCTCCCTCAAAGGTCAACACTTTGCTTGGACAGCAATACTTAACAGGATTAATAAGAATGATTGGCTTCGCATTAATAGACCCTGACCTGCTCTTTACTCAGGTGTGTTATGTGCAAGTCAAACAATAAACCAGAATATTTGTTTCGTAAGACAGTTACTTATTCTGGGAGCAGTCTTTGTGAGTGTTCTTCTAGTGGAGCATTACACTAGCTTCTTTAAGGGTTCACATTCAGTTTAGGGTGCATTGGTTCTCTCTCTAGTGTTCTGCTCAGGGCTGTTCCTATGAAGATGCTAAGTATATGTCCAATATGTAGAGCACAGTTTTTCTATCCTTTATAGATTATTTTCATTTTTCTTTCTACTTTGGACTTTGGAAGATACCCTACTTTTCCCTAGTTGAATTTTCCCTCACATCTTTCCAACAAAACTCATCTTTCAATCCAAATGTCTTATAGATCTAATGGTTGGTAATGTGTTACAATACTAAACATAAAAACTACATTTTCAATAACTCTTACCCCCAAGCCCAAGTGCTGACGTGTTACATCATCAAGAGCACCTGGCCTCAAACCATCATACTTTCCAGCTGGAGAATTTTGATAATATCGAGTTGGATTCCGGGAAGAAGGATTCTGGTTCCGTCGTGACTTGTGTTGTTTGCGAGCATTATTGACTGCAGTGTTGTCACGAGGCCTTGGACACTCTCTCAAAGAGTGATTGTAAGAACCACAATTGAAACACCGAGCAGCAGCATCAATGATCTCCAGACCACTACAATATTTATTGAAAAAATAAAAAAAGGCATAACATTTGCGTACAATATGCTTTCCTACTGAAATTTTCTTTACAATTTTAAAAATTTAATCAAACAGACAATCTAACACTGTAAAAATATAAAGGAAGTAATAAGGTATGTAAAGATGTAGTTCACTGCTTAGCCTACTTTAAGTAGAAATTTGAAATAAGAAGCAATTTTTGAAGCATGAGATAGAAAGACTATTCTGTAACCACACTGAACAGGGATTTTATGGAGCTTCTGGACAAAGGTTTTATGAACAGTGCAAAATCAGAATATTGAACAACTAAGTAACAAGCTAGCAGGCTAATCATGATATTAATATCATACTTCATAATATTATATTTCCAACATCGTATGATCACATAAAACATCTAGAAATAGTAAGGTAAGTGCACCCACAATTTCATCCTTAAACAATACAAAGTAACAGTGTATACCCATCCACATTACTTGAACCGTCAGCAGATGAAGTCAATCCCAAAGTATATCCACGATCATATAGAGGCACAAAATTATCATCTAAAGGAATGAAATCTTTGTTCTTATCATTTCTTGTTTCGTTCTCCATCCAGAATGACTGCAATTTAAGGAAAAGGGGAAAATGATATATCTATTGCAAAAAACGAGTGCAGATATTAGGAATACAATATCATGCCCATTATCGTTGTTAAGGAAAATGTGTAACTATGACTCAGATAGGCTTCATGCAACCACCCTAGACTTCTAACAATGCAGCAGTTAGAAATAAAGGCATTCAGAAAGACTGCACATATGCCAAATAAAAATTAATAGAGATAAAAATGATGGAGCAAATACCACATTTGAAGAGTTAAAAACAGAATATTAATAATGGATAAGGCAATTCTTAAAAAATATAGTGAATGCAGACTTCACACTGCAATGGCTATCAGAACTCTTGCCCTATTACTACAATCAACAGCATATAGTTGCACATAGTGAATTGAAGGCTTCAACCTAGAGCTTTGCTCGTTTGCCTAAACAGACTTAGGAAACTCACCACAGCAGATGTCTTTTCAAGTCCAACATGTAGTGCAGGAAAAAATGTCTCCTCACCAGATTCCAACACTTCACTAGGATCCTGAACAGAAAGACATTGTCCATGTTTCTCATTCTTTAGGGGGGAAAAAATGAAAGAAAGCAAAAGCTGCATTTATTAATAGCACAGTTATCACCCATTTCCTTGTCAATGCACCAACTGCCTAAGGATCCACCCATTGAATGTTCTCTTCCTCCCTTGAGTTGTCTATAGATTAGTTTTTACAATAATTTTGTAAATCAAAGCCAATCATAAACAACAGACATTGTTCTGTCTCATGTGAGATAATCATCACCAAAAAATAATAAAGATTTGTCAGGTTGCCACATTTTGATTCAGTTTTTCTAATAGCTTAAGACTGAGATTCACAACTTATCACCAGTGCCAAGATATTTGACTACTCATCAAAGTCAGGACATCAATCTTGGTTTGAAATTGAAAGCACTTGCATCAATCTAGAGTTTTTTTAAGAGAAAAGTAAGCATGTATTTGTATTTGTGAATCTTGTCTTCAAATTTACAGTCTTTTTCTGTGTTTTCTTGTCATGATACTTATTCTCTATCATCTGTTTAGTCATCTATTTACTATAGTTGAATTAAGAGGGAGCGAAAGAGAGAAATAGAGAGAGGGGGATAGGATGGAATTGCTTAAGTGGAATTGATCAATTGTACTGTACTTCAGTAATGCAGAACATCTATATATATAGACTCTTAATAGACTAAGTGGGTAGCATTTCAGATCCCAGGCAAAGTGTAAATAGGTACTACTTCCTAAATATTAATTTGTACAAAAACTAAATGCATTTAACAAGTGGCGCATGAAATGGGCATCATTCTAACAATTAGTATGGGAAATATTCTTTCACTATGAAAAATTAAAAACAATCAGCCTTACATTGGAAGAGGGAACATGTTTAGCATGCCATTTAGACCATTGCTGTAGTAGTTCCTGAAGCTTCTGTCTACTAGCCCTGGAATGTGTTCAAACATGAGTCAAAATGTCAATCAATGAAACTAAACTGAAATATCAAGTCACTTTGATTTTAAAAAAAAAGGAGACAAATATAGCTTTATTTCTAACTTTAGGAACTAAGATAATGTCCCACTGTAGTTTTAAATAAATTTTCTCATAAATTTCTACAAACCTTGTCAGGGAATTATACGTGAAATGAACTGAAGGTTGTTGTTCATCAACAATAATCTGGGCTCCTTTAGTACCTGATACAGCTAGCATGTCATATTAAGGAAACAGGCATAATAATAACTGGGGATGCAACTCTTCCAAAGCATTCATCAGTGTCAATGTTATAACATTTGCATAGAACTAATCCAAGCAAGTAATACCTGATCATGAACATATTGGTACAGAGAATTTTGAAAATTAAGATGTAAGCATTGCACAAACACGTTTTTGAAGGGAAAATAGTCTAGGATTAATTGCACTTTTGGCCACTTAATTTCAACTACTAGACCTATTTAGTTGATTTATTTTTTATCAGAAATTACAAAGACAATTGTTGTAAAGCATTTACTACAGCAATTACAAAAGACCACATCACAAATGCAATAAAGAGCATTGTTATAAAGCAACAACTGCACAGAAATTATGAAATACAACATCACACAGGTGGAAGAGAAATTCACCATTTTAACTTGCCCACCAAGCATATATGAATAATTTGGATGACTCCTGTAGCAGAGAACTCACAAGTCATATCAATATATGAAGCAAGGATAGCATCTAATTATTCGCCTAAGTAAATTCTGACATAGGGTTTTCCACAGAGCACAACTCAGCAGTTTTTTCAAGCAACAAACTAGACGAAGCTCAAAGAACACATAAGAAAACAACCTTTGGATACTAAGTTGGCATTTAGAAGAGCTTATCTTAAGCTTATACAAATAATTTATGACTCTCATAAGCTCTTGTTAGCTTATTCTAATAAGTTTCATTTGGTGTCTTAGGATACAAAAAATAAATAAGCACCTATTCAATAAGTTTTCTTTTTAAATGATGACTCATGTCATAAACTTGACCATGAAATAATTAGGATAAGCTGAAATCAGCTTATTTTGATAAGCTATGCCAAGAAGCTAATTGGTATAACCTAAAAGGAGCTCACAGGAGTAATAAGCTATTTTCGTAAACTGTCCATAGGCTCTTCCAAATGGACCCACTGTCAAATTTATGCTATAAGTCCTCATGTGGTAAGAGCTTATTGAATAAGTGCCTAATTAACCTGTTTATCCAAACACACCCTAAATGCATGTTGAGTTTGGGGTGTAAAAATTATGAAAAATAAGCAATATGTCTCAAATTTAAACACTAGCAAACATGCACTAAATTTCATAGAAGGATACATCTTCCATCAATCTCAAGTCTTCTACTAGGGCTCCCGTCTTCAAGAGAAATGTAACCATTATCGGCAAGCTCTCCTCTCCTTACTTCCTCAGCAATCACAACTGTCTCGGTCAACTTGAAACCAGCTTGCAAATCCTTGCCATGTGTAATTTCTGGCAAGGAAGCGACACACTCCTCAGGTTGGCTTGGCTTTTCATCTTCAACCTTGTTCTCCTCATCCCAAGAATCACTTTCCATTCTGCTTTTTTCAGCCCAAGAGCCAGAATCTTCCACAGTGGGAGGAACCTCATTCAAATGCTCCTCACCATCCATACCCATATAAACCCTTTTCTTCTTCTATTGCAAAATATTAAAATTTTATCAGAATACCAAATTGAAAACACTTCCCCCCCCTCCCCCCCCTCTCTCTCTCTCTCTCTCTCTCTCACGCACACATAAATACATACAGTGCTGTGAGTATAGTGCGAATAGAAGAAAGTGCAAAGAGAATTGGGAAAAAAATTTTACCCCAAGGGAAAGAAAAGAGGTTGCAAGCGAAAGGAACGTACCGAATTGCAAAGTGGAGAAGATTGCAGAGAAACAGAGAGACAGAGAGCTGGAACCCTAGGGGGAGTAATTGCAGATTCTTTTCTTTCCTCGTTCCAATCCCAACAGAACACTGCACTGCCCTATTAAACGCTCCGTTTTGGTTAATAATTAATTTCCCCCCTTTTTTAAATCAAAAAAGATAAGCAATAATGTGCTTTGGTGTTTGGTTAAATAAGATTTTCACATTTCATAAAGGTACACTAGACTTTTGTTCAGTATATTTTCAAATAGTTGACACTAATAGGAATAAAAATATTTAAAATATTATTAAATATATATTATGCTTTGGTACTGGCTGTTAAGTGTCTAAACAGTAAAAAAGAGAATATTGTATTATTAGATTTGAAAAAAAATGATTTAAAAGGTGACGTGTGCACAAAATCTAGATCTCTTCTAATTTATACAGGAACAAAATATCTAGTTTTATTTTTGTTTTAAAAAAATTATGCTTAAGTAAATTGCCTTTGATTGTGAAAAATTTATTTAAACAAAAATAAAATTGAATGTTTTGTTATAGCATAAATACAAAAGATCTAAATCTCATGTGCACCTAGATGCACAAGCCTTTCTTAATGTTAAATAAAAAAATTATTATATCAAATTGCATTTATACCTTTAAGTTTAATAAAATCTTATCCAATATAATATCAAATATTTTTTTAATAATATAATTCTTTCCTGATTTCTTACATAATTATATGAATTAAGATGTTAAAGTAATGTAAAAAAAAAAAAAAACCTACCAAGAAAATTTTTATTAAATCTCATGTGTTTGAATGTAATTTATGTAAAATGTTATTCTTAAAGTCATTATGTATATATACCCAGTAAAAGATAGAATTTGGGCTTAAAATCCCAACAGAACATAGCACTGCCCTATGCTAAAATGCTCCTTGTTAATATTAGGCACTTAAAATATTAAGAGAAATATAGATATTAATAAAATAATCAAAAAATATTTAAAATTTTGAATATTCAGTTTTAAAACCGTTTTTTTTTATTTGGTTTAAATGGTAACTTGCAATTAACTACTATTAACTGCCACAACCGTGTTTCTGTGACGTGAAATGACTCAATTACTTGTTTTCATCGTATTGGTGTTGGTTGCATCGTTGTCTTCTTCTGTCTCTACATATCATTGGCTTTCTAAACCTCTTCTTGGAGATGATGGAAGAATCTATGTCTGTTCTCATTACACATTTTTTGCATTTGAAAACAATGGTACCATTGCATGGACGATGCATTTAGACTACAAATGCAACCTTGGTACCGCCCCAGTTCATGGAAGTTATGGCAAGGTTATTTAAATTCAGTTTTGTTGGTTACACTCACATTACTATGAGTTTCTTTGCTTCAGATTCTTATTCATCATTCTTTCATAAACAAATGTCTTCATAAGAAATGAATTTTTTTGCATTAAATCCATAATATGAACATGAAATAAATGCTCTCTTTCTATAAATTTTTACTACTAATAGTGTTTAAGATCAACTTTAAAGGCTGATATTAAACAAATCAACTTTAAATGCCCTCAATTCTTGAAATTAGAAGGGTACTAAATTTAGACTCGGACACTTATTCATGCTAATCCCTTCATGTAAAATTGTCGGTGATTAAAATCATAACTTAATCTTAATTTTTTGTAAGGCAATTGCAGATATACTTGGTAGCTGATAACAGAATATTGATGATTAATTATGGAAACATTGGAGCTTCTGAGCCGGCAGCAGAAGTTTTCTTTGGTCCACAACCAGATCAACATGCTGAGGCTGAAATTATTGGTTTCTCAGTAAGCACATTAGGCTTGGGCTCAACTGTTTTCATCAGCATCAAGAATCGAGGACTCTTTGCATACAAGTCACATGGACGTTTGCTTTGGAGTGTTGGACCTGTGCTGAACCAATTTGGATACCGTCAAGGATGCAAGAAAAATCTTACAGATTGTTACTTTGCATCAGTTCCTGTGCTTGATCAATGTGAGGCTAGTATATATGTAAGGTTAACTCATCCTTGGTTTATTGTAATATTTATTCTCCACTTTGGCTATAGAAATGATGTACATATTGAATAATGGTTTTTGCAACAATTTCGATGTTGATGGCTGTAAAAAAAATTTTGATTTATCATGAGTTAATAATTGAAACTGTAATTGTAATTGACACTATGTCATGAAATGGTAACAGGCAAAGTTGTTTATTTTATGGCAGTATTTCAGTTACTAAATGACTGTGTATTGTGCAGTTTTCTCATATGATGAAATGTACATTTCCCAGGATTGATATGACTTGTTTGAAAGTATATGTTTTTTCACTTGCAGATCACAAATACAGAAGGAGAACTCTATTGTTTGTCAGTTCGTAGCCGTCACTTTCGATGGATACAGGATTTTAGCTCATTAGACAAAAAATTCACCATCACTCCTGGAAACAATGGTCATCTTTATGTAACAGTTCAAGCTAAGGCTCTTGTGCTGGCTCTAGATGTATTTTCAGGCACTGTCTTGTGGCAGAGAAGTATTGGGCCATTAAGCAAAGTTGACTCTGCACCTGTAGTGGACTCTAATGGTAAGTAGTTTGCTGTTAGATTAGTTTAAGCCTCACTCTAGAAAATATAATATCATTATGAATTTTCATATGTAACGTAAAAAGTCTCTCAATTACTACATGCAGGATCAGTGTTTTAATAAATATTTGTGCAAATTTTGTTAAGTAGAATTTAAAATTTCTTTGCATGCAGCAAATAAATTACTTCTTCCACAATTTCTTGTCAAAAAACCTATGGTGCCCTTACTCTCACTTACTTGAATCCCTTTGCAAACCACTGTGTGCTATGGAACTGTATGAAGGATCTACCTTTATATCCTTCACATGCATAAATTGATATCTAAATACAACAGTTTTCTCTAATTTTTCTTCATAGGACTTTCTGGTCCATCTGGACAAATCATGCCTAATAATGCTGTATCCATATTGCCGCATAGTTGCACTCGGTATTTTAATGTCTGCATGTCACACAAACTTTTGCATTAATTTGAAATATCTCTCGTCTCTACAACCAATGGTTAGAGGAATATAACTTTACTGGTGCACACATGATTTAACAGGATGGATATCTATTGGTTCATTGGATGGATTTCTGTACTCGTTTTCACCAACCGGGGTTCTTAAGAAATTCTCAAGAATGAATGCAGAGAAATATATGGTTCAAGTTGGTCCTTTTCTTGATTGCTCTGGATTTGCAGTCTACAGTTCACAGATAGAGATGGAAGGAAAAGTTAGCCATACTATAGGTGAATACACCGTTGTCTCAGCAATTCGACCAAAAGCTGCATTATTCACTATGTTGGTTCCTGCAACCGGATCAATCTATTGGTCTGAAGGCTATCCTGGTACATGCTTCTCAGTTATTTCCTCATAACCATTAGCACTGGAAATAAGGTCTCCATATCAGCAGACTAACTATTTTTCTGAGTGATTGATTCAGGTCAATTTTCTGCTTTATTATTTGAGAGTGACCTAAGTCAATTTGTTATGAATGAGGAGATTCTTCTTGCTTTCCTAGCTGCCTCAAGTAAGATTGCATTCTCTTAAGTAACAGAACATTTTCTTTCTTTTGATAATATAGAATAAGGGTAGTCAACAACTTTTCCCTGAATTAAGGTTGCCCCTATTTAGATCAACAGAAGAGAAATAGGACACTTAAGTATGGCCTTCTGCAGAATGTTGATTATTCATTTAAGGAAGCACAAAGTGGATAGCTAAAAATGTCCTGGGATGTTTACTTTTGGGAATTATATGTTTGATATGAAGATATTTTGTTTGAATGAACTAATGGGTTGGTTCTGATTTTCGAAGCAGAAATTGGCACCCCGCTGCAATGCCGAACTATAGGTACAAATCTTTTCTTCACCTGCCTTTAGATAAATAACCATTTTTTTAACCAGTACAATGAATGTTAATCTGAAATACAACCTGTAACATCACATTATCAATCGTTTAAATGACATCTATGTTAATGAAAAATCCTTCCAGCTTGTATATATTTTAAGACTATTATTTCTTGATACTAGCCAACCAGCTAAGGATTTCAGGCAATTGATTTTCTGTATGTACGTGTTCTGTAATTTATAATATTTCAATGTCAGACAAGTGTTCTTCAAGAATCAATGCTGACGTGCTAATAACTCCAACATTGATTTACATGCCAAAAATCAATTGCTTTTCTCAACTTTCAATAAAAATCAAAACAACTTGAGAAAGGTGAATGTTGTTTCTGCTTCTCAACATTGCTGCTTTCTATTCCTATCATTTTGCCTAAAAATCTAGAAAGATGAGATATGAATCCTCAAATGTTAATTTACTGCAAAACGCAAGCTTTCCAAATATAGATGGACGCCAAGGTATACTGGAAAGTTCATGGAACGAAACAATCTGATTTTCCTTCCAATATAAATATTATGGCAGAGTGTTTTAGTTGAGTACTTATAAACATGCAAAACTACAGTATCTAGGTTTTAGTTGAGCGTTTATTAAAATGCAACACTCTCTTTTTGTTAATGTGGCACAAAAATTTATGTACATGTAATATCTGATTACTTAACAGGTCAGAAACATGCATCTAGCTGCTCTCAAGCAAGAACCAAGCTTGTCAGCGTCTACACAGGTAATGTATAAATTTGAAAATTAACAAGAGAATGTGGCAACATTTCAACAATTGAATATGGTTTTCAATTTTTTGTAGGCAATGAAAGGGCTATAGTATTGTTTCTTCTCTTTGAGTCTGCACTCCTGATGGTACTATTTGGACTTGTAAGATTCTGCTATACATTCTGGGGAAAAAAGAAGCTTAAAGATCAAGGCCTCAGAAGTTTCCTTGACAAGCGAGTTAGTTTGAAATCGTGTTGTTCGTCTTGTTCTTGTTTCCCTTATTCTTTCTTCTTATGTTTTAATTCACCGAGTAGGAATTTACCTTCTATCATAATTCACTTATTTTTACCATTTTGATCTTTTAGTGCTCTCTTCAGTTTAAAAAGAAAGTTTTGGATAGGACAATTTCAGAGCTTGAGCAAAAAGCTGCAGAGGAAACAGTGGACAATGAAGTTTTTGAAAAGTTGGGTGATGTAGTAAGAGAAAGGGAATGCATAGAAAGGAAGCTTTCAACCACATATAGTTTGGGCAGGGACAGGACTGATTCACAACCAAAATCTATGCTACCTTTACATATGGGAAAAACAAAAAGCTACTCATTTCAGGATGCAAAGCAAAAGAATGTGACTATGCTGCACACATTAAGTGATACATCTTCCAGTGAAAGCAGCACTGAAGGAGAGACTTGCATGCTTGAAGGCATGGACACATTAGCTAAGGCCAAAGCAAAGACACCTGTGGTGGAGGAGGATACTTCAACTTCAAGTAACGATGAGTTTGGTTGGAGAGGCTACATAAGTCCTTCGGAAGTAACCTGACTTGAGAAGGGGGAGGGAGAGTCTGTGCAGGAAAGGAGCAACAGCAGTTGTCTTCGATTGTTCTAGTAATAGTTCTGAATGTTAACTATGAACAAATGATTTGATACCACTAACCAAATATTGAAAACAAACACTATGTAACCAAAGAAAAAAAACCATTTTAAAAAGAAAACACTTTAAACTGACAATTTCGAACATTAAGGGGGTAAAAAAGGCATGATTTAAGACAAAACAGGGCTTAGAAGGCATATATATAACGTGTAAGTCTTTCTTTTTGTTGTACAAATTTTCTAAAAAAAGATAACATGTTTCTATTGTGTATCTTTCATTCATGAGAAAATATATTCTCTTAAGATAATAAAATTAAACTTTACCATTTTATTAGTGTATTTTTTTTTTTTACTTCTTTTGAAAAACCATTGAAAATCTACGTTACACTGCATCGTGGAATCAGAACGTTGTTGTCAAATTCTTTCTCTGAAAGTGGTGAGTGAACAAATGCGCACAATGGGCTTAATATTGTTAAATTTCATTTATTATACAGTGTATCAAGGATGTGATTAAAAACTAATATCACATGTTAACGTGCGTTTGAATAAATATAACGTCAATCCAATGACACTAAGAATAGGATATGATAAAAAACTAAAAAATATAATTATTATTTTTTTATGCGCTTGGAAGCTTTTTCTTTGCTAACAGCAGAGATATTTTCCTTTCAAGCAAGTAAATTTTCTCTCTCTCAACAAAGACTTTTCCATATACCCAATAAAAAATTAAATTCTTGTCAACGTGTTTAAGAGATCCTGCTGACTCTCCCGAACTGTAGGTAATAATAGAAATATTAAGGCTCCAAGAGAAAACAGTATTTTAAATAAATAAATAAATAAAGAATACATGACATTCAAATTAAAAGAATAGTACGAGAAATTGACATTAATATTAATATATTAATATATAAGTGAATGGGAGATAGCAAAATTCACTAAACATGGAGATCTAGGCCACACCTCGCAATATGATAGGCCCTAAGTTCATAAGGAACGTCAACCTATTTCTCCCAAGAAATATGGTGACTCAATGAATGAGGAGTTTGAGGTATATATACACGAACTAAAGCCAGAGAAGTTCGTCAATAAGAAATACTATGAATACTACAACCTTAGAAGGGACTGATCTTGCCAGCCAATTTCAACAAAATCTCAGGAACAAACCGTCTTCTTGGGGGTGCAGTGGCATCCTTTGCAAGAGCATCAATATCATTGGAATGTAAAGTCGAAACTACATAATCAAATAGGTCATCTTTACCACCTCGGAGTGGATCCTGTACAACATGGTTGAGAATTAGCTCATTAGACAAAACAAAAGGATAGCACATAGTTGAACTGTAACTAGAATTACTTTGAATTTGAAAAGTGAAAAGGTAAGAAAAATCATAATATAGGCAGAGTGCTTTCCAGTTGAAGCCCTGCCTGATGCCACAAGTACCCTCCATGAACCTCTCGTAACAGATCAGTCTAGGATATTTTAGATAGTAACTCCAAGATACATTGCAATCAAATAAAAGATGCTTATGTGGCTAATTTTAGCACTACAATTACATACTATAATGTTCATCTTCTTCAGGAGCATCTAATAGGGAAGTTGTAATCATTTATATTCAGAAAAACTATTGTGCAACACATTATTTGTAGAATAAACAATATCAGTTAGTAGTTATGATATGGGATTTTAATTCTTAAACAAATTTGGGTGATTTTCTTGAATTACAGGAGTGTGAACTACATAATGGGTATTAATATAGGGTATGGCTGACTTTGTGTAGAACCAATTATAAATTGACCAAATTCTACGTAAAGGAGAAGAAAGATAAATTCCAACAAAGATAATAAGGCATCCTCTAATTGATGCAGGTTATCTCCCCTTTCTTAATTTTCTAGTGATAGAAATGATCCATGGGCATAGCACCAAAAGTGATTTATCAATCATCCCTCACTTTAAACTTATGAGTTCTGACAAAAATAATTAATTACTGTGAAGCCAAAACTAGAAGAGATCTGCAAAGATGAAGGTGAAAGTTCTTAGGCAGGGGGGCCAAGCCGAAGTTTCAGAAACTGAATCTGCTCTATGAGTCTGAAGGGAGATTAATTCAAGTTTACCGACTTAAAAATTTTTAGTTCTACATATATACTGCATGGGTATATGAGTTTCTTTCTCAGCTATACTTATAGTGATAATTGAAACGCCAAATTCAAACAAATTGCATAATACAATGTATTTGAGCCAGTATTAGTATTATTAAGTGTACAAAAATTTAAAAATGCATCACTTTTAACTTACTTGAAGAAACAAATCTGTATGAGTTTTCCCCTCATACAGAATCAGCTCAGCTCTTGCCCCTGCCTTCTTAAGAGCATCAGCAAACTGTTCACTGCATTAACATCGAAAAGTGTAACAAATGCCACCAACTTTTTTGGCGTAACATAGTTCAAAATCGAGCAAAGAAAATCATCACATTGGAGATTTCTTTTGAAGGAGTAAATTACAGCATTCCGTCATTGTGTTTAATCAGTACAAATAACACAAGTACTGTAGAAAAGAAAGGATGACCCACAATGTCATTAAGTTATTAATTTTACAATAGCAAAAGGTCATCAAACTCTGCCTATGCCATGCTTTGTTGCTAATATTAACATAGTCAACTCCAACTCCCAAGCCTAGATTAAAAAGGGTTGAGTTAAGCAAATGAAAGTCAACCTAAAACTTTGTTGAATCTTTAGGACATAACAGCAAATCAGGTTTTATCTATAGTATGAAGACACAGCATATAAGTAGATTATTGAAACCTTTAGTAGTTTCCTTCAATGCAGTAAAAGAATATAATACACCAATAGAACAATGAATTTCAAGGCTTATCCACTAACCTGGCAACTGATGGTATGGAATAATCAGCAGTTCCATGGAACAGAAATACAGGGGGCAAGAGCGGAATAATATCTTTGAGGCATGGATCTTGAATTTTGATTGCAGGAGAAAATTTCTTCAAGCTTTGTTCACCTTCCATTATGCTGCAATGACAATCACTGTTATGAGGAGGGAAAAACAATAGCCTCATAGTTGTAATGAAACTTGATTATTGGGGACACACCTTAAAAATATAGAACGATACAAGCCACGATTGTGGAAGTGATCTACTAAATTCAACAAGTTGTATCTGCAGATGTGTGTTGAAAGGGTTAATAGATTACCCTTAACATGTCTAAACCAATTGCTCAGAGAGCATAATTCAGAAGCACAGTCATCAGTCATCACACTTCTTCACAGAACAAGCCTGAAACATCTCTCTCTCTCTCTCTCTTTAATTTTAATCTCTTTGCCTAGGAAAAAGCAAAAATCAAATGGAAATAGATTACAGAAACATACAAGAGGTTTGTTAAAAACTAATTCTTCAAACAGTCCATTTAGATCTAAATTCTTTTTAGTGCCATTCCCAGAGAAACTCTTAATCCTCTATAATTCATTCATTTTCAATCCTAACTTTTCTAGTATGACCACATAACCAACACAACATTTTCATCTGCATAACGAATATCTTATGCTCCTGTTTGCACTTCAGCACCTTAAAATGTCGTTAGTCATATGGTTGTGTGGTAAAATTTTCCTTTTACCTTTGTATTATATATAACTCAAAAAATAGACAAAATAAATATCCAGGAGCTGCATTGATGTTTTTTAGACAATCCATAAAGAACAGAGATATATTGTTGAAATTGACCATTCACACATAATTCAGTACATGCCCATAAAGTTCTTGCAAAGTAGCAACAATATCTTACCCTCCAGATAAACCAAAATAAGCTTTTATTTGGGAAATGCTCCAAGAAACACTATCTTCTTTTCCAGCTTCTTTGGTTGCTTGATCCAATAAAGTGCAAGAAGAAATATGAGCACCAGCAGATTGCCCCATTAGATAAATCCTATTGCATAGTTATTAACAAAAAATAGAAAGATCAATCTTATAGTTGAATGCCTAGATATATATGAAAAGGAATCTTATATATTAGTAGCAAGCCACCTATTAGGGTCTCCTCCATAATTAGCTATGTTGTTGATGACAAAGGAAATACCCTGAGAAGTATCATTTACCATATCACTGATGGTTCCTTGAGGAAAATTTCTACGTTCACAAAACGAAGATCAATTAAGTGGTAAATATATCATACACTTTGACAATTAAATATAACAAATATGTTTGCTTCTACCATTTAAGCTATAATAACATACAAAAGAATCCTTAATTACCTTGGAACTCTACAAATCATTAAGATATTGATTAGGGAAATGCTTATCCAGTTGCCCTGAGAGTGGCTTACTATATTTTTTACTCTTAACAAAATTAACAAATAATTCAATTAGGATATGTGTGAGGCAACCGTTTGAGGTAAACATCCTTGTAGTTATGACTTATGAATTTCCTGGACACGATGTCCTAGAAATGTATTTTAAAAGGCACCCAATTTGTCCATCAGAATACCTCAAACACAGAGCAAGTCGGATCAAAGGTAAATTGTAGACTCAATCTTGCACTGCTTGAACTGAGACCAGGTACCTGTAATCAATGCATGCCACTATAATGCCTCTTTCTGCCAACTGTAGTCCTAAAAGGGAGCCCCATGCTTTATACCTAAGTCAAAATCCAACCAAAATCATTTGATTTTTAAATGATAAAATATTGGTGCATACACTCAAACAACAACAACGAACACAACTAAATTGTTACCGTATCATGATACTGGAGAGCAATTTTACATCAACCAAGTCCTACAAGTTGGTGTCTGAATTTTTAAAATTCAATTTCAATAACCTCCTCTGATATACTCTTTAATGGAAGCAGAAATCAATCCTAAATATTTAAATTATGTTATACCATTTACACCCAAGAATTCTGTTGTATGTTTCAACATGACATCAACTATACCCTATTTTTGGTCAAAGACTAGAAGCACATACAACTTGAAGAGGTATATGGTTTTTCCAACAGGACAGAAATCCTTGCACTACAACTAAGATTGATGAAATTATCCCAAATATAATCCTAAACTTGTCTTCCAAATTAAAATAGCAACATTCAGTCAGTTGGTGGAGGAGTTCATGTATCAGCAGTAATGTGCTATTCAAGCAAATATTGTATGCTCTGAATAAGACTAAACACTCTACAGAGTAAATTAACCCATGAATTCAAGCAAACCCATTTAGATATTTCAAACCACTCACCCGATAATCCATGCTCCCCCAGTTACAAATATCAAAACTGGCTTAGGTTCACTAATATCAGCAGGTAGATACAGATCCAACCTGCAAAAGCACAATTTAAAAGAATATCGTGCATACTACATGAAATGACCAGCATCACAGGATAGATTAACCAGTGTTTCAATTTACCTGTTTCTAGGTTGATCTCCATAAACAATGCTTCGCTTTACCTTGCTTGAGAAGTAATAGCAGTAAGCAACTGCAGAAAGTCAACAGTAACAGAGTGAAAAAACAAACAAGAGAGCCATTTTCTATAATGTTGCTGGATACAATATTTGTGTGTGAAGATTTCGATCTCTCCCCAAGGTGGAAGGAGAGACAGCAGCATGTAATGTAGAAGAACTAAGTATAAGGATAGGCAAGAGGGGAATCAGGTCATTATAAAACAAAATCATCATTGGGTATTGAGTGAACAGAATGCATAAGAAAATATATGATGATCTACATCCATGAATCTGAAGCACTCCCAAAGTAAATTTACAAAGCATAACATTTATCATTATTAGAGATAAGAAAGATGAGTTACACAATTATATTGAACAAACCTTGTAAAAACCCAGGCATAAGTAGCATTGCATAACATCCAAGGGCAAGTAGTTGCCTCATCCATCGGTAACCAATCCTGAACAATATATCAATAGAAAATCAGACATGCAAAGTCACAAATCAGAGTAAAATTTATGTATCAACAGAATAATCCTCATAGTTAAAAATATAAAGAGCCTTTTATCAAACAGTAGAGGTTTTTTATGAGACAATTTCTTTCTGCAAACTGTATGTGGCTAATACTTTCAGCTTCCTCTCTTTCAAGTATGGATGTAGAACGATCTTTCCATTCATGTAAAGATTTCAGTAGTATTCTTTTTTCTGTGTGTGGCTTTTAGTCTTCGGCCTTTTTGTGGTACTTTTCCTACGTACATTTACTATTTAACAACACATTAGTGGGACTTTGATGGGAATGGATTATGTTCGGAAAATAATAATTTTTTCGAAAACTCTTTAGAAAAAATAGTAAAAATAAGCAATTATATTTCCAAGATAAATTCAACCAAGCAATTACATTTAAGTGAGCTTATTTTAAGTTTATTTGGCCCCATGGCTAAGTAGCTACTAAGAATACAGTACGGGTAAGGGTACACAATACACAGTTCATATATGTGAGGGCATGGTTACTTTATGTTTGGGCCTATCTAATGGAATAAAAGGCTATAACGCATTTTCAGAAACCTCTGTCAGTTCTTTTTCCTTCCTTTTGGAAAGCTTCTAAGTTGAAGCTTACAAAAACACAGCTTTAGGAACGCTAAAAACAGCTTAGGCGGGAACTAACTTATAATGGTTTTTGACACATAATAATTAAATAATTTTATAGAATTTTTTATTAAAAATACAAAATCTAATACATTAAAAATTATATATTAACGTTATCTATTATAATTTTAATAAAATTTTATTATTTGTTAATTTTTTATTGTATGCTCTTGAGCTATGTTAGAAAAATCGATTACTAAATTACATCGTGCATGAGCAACCGTTGAAGTTCCATCCGAACCATTATTTTAGCATAAGTTTTGAAAACAATTAAAATGGGAAAAATATAATGTTTTTCCGGAATAGAAAAAGACAACGATTATTTTCCACTAAATAATTCCAACCAAACATGCGTGCATTTATGACGGTAACTACATATATTCATCACATTACTCCAACACAGTGACAAAGGGAAAGTAATTCTACAAACTTAAAGCCAATTTTTGGTAATGCCGCAACACGTGAAACAAATCAAACAAACAAAGAAATTTTCTATTATGCCTTAAAAGAGTATTTGCTCTCTCTCAATGTAAATCTTATATTAATCGATAGTAAAATTAGTTAATTATTCGAAAAAAAATATAAAGAACTTTTAACTTTTAATAGATATTAAAAAAATTACAACTACTGTATAAAATATTTATCCTCTTTAAGTTTAGAATACCGGGACAATCACCTCAAACAAATTTAAAATATCGATGCAATTTGTCACAAAAGTCAAGACAATTTCATAAATTTTGCTTAAATCATGAATATAAGTCAATTTAATCTATAAAAATTTTATTAAAAATATATCGGAATACTTTCATTTAATATTAACATTATCAAACTACGATAATTTTAATTTTTAAAATTAAAAAAGGCTTAAACAACTAATATTTAATAATTTTAAAAACTTTATCTAAATGATGTTTAGCAATTTTAATGAATAAATTAACTGATAATTTACAATATTATAAAATCATTATACGTTTAGAATTGCTTAAATTTAAAGAAATACTAATTAATTCATCGTGAATTCATATAAAATTTTATGGAAGTGCTTACCCGAGATACTTAAGAAGCGTGATGGCGAGACGAGTAATCAAGTAGGTTTCCGCGGCGACGTGGCCAATATCTCTCCGAAACGAGCTTTGCCGAGCAGGGCGAAAGTGGTGGCCATTTTCACCGGCGACTCGGCGGCGGTTGTTAGGAACGGAATCTGCCATTGGATTTGGATGGGAGTCGACGTCCACCGGCGATAGCATGCGGCGGCGATCGGAGAGGACTGCCATCGCCGGCGGAAGGTGGGAAATGAGAGAGGGAATTTGGATGGGAAGAGAATAAATTATTGCATGCCTTGGTTTGCGTAGCGCGAGAATATTGCATATATTTATGTACAGCCAAAGACAAGCTGTGTTCAAAAATTAGAAACGCAAATCAAAGGTCATTTTCAATTTTACTTAATTAAAATTTTCTTATTTAGTCTTTTTTTAAATAATTTTTATAATATATATTAAATATTTTTTATATCTCTAAATCGTATAAATTTATTATTTAACTCTTTTAAATGTTATAATTTTTTATTTGGTCTTCGTAAATATTATACTTTTTATTTGACTTTTTTTAAAATAAAAATTAGTGATACAAAAAGAGATAGAATAAAAAGTAAAAAAAATAATTTAAAACGAAAAATTTTAAAAATATTTTTTAATATATGTTAAAAAACAAAATAAGAATAATAAGAATATAATAAATTTTATTAAAATTACAAGATATAACTATTTTTAATGGAATGATATAATTAAATGAAAAATTAATAAAAAATTTATTTACTTTTAATTATATATAATTCAGCACACTTTAAATTTTTTTATAAAATTAAAAATGAGAAACTAAAAAAATTGAAAATTTTTTGAAACTGAAAATTTAATTATACCTTTTAATTTCAGTATTATGTATTATTGATAAATATTAACCAGTATCTTAAAATATTGCTTAACTATTCAAAAGTAAATAAAGAAATCATTAATACACCTTTTTTATAAAAGAAAATATTAAAGATATAGATATTTTGACATAGATAAAATATTAATTATAGTTTATATATTATAATTTTAAATGGTTGATAAAGAAAATGGAAGAAGCAAAGGAGAGTCAATCTTTATCAGTACATTTCAGGTCTAGTGAGATTTTGAGTTTATTTTTATGACGAAAGAATATAATACGCGTTGGGAAGCAGTAACATTGTTTCTTGAAAAAAAATTGTGTTATACTTTATTAGTATTCAAAGAGTTTAATTTGAATATACTATTAATATAAAAAATTATATTATTAATCAACTGTAAATTGTGGTAAATATATTTTCAAAATGATTATTAGAAGATTTAATAATTTTAATAATATTATAATACTGAAATTAAAAGGTATAATTTAAACATTTATTAATTTTTATTATAATAATTTAAAAATTATATCTATAATTTTATTTTAATTTATTTATAATGTCTGAATTTTATGCTATACAACTCACATTTTGAATTTTGTTAAAGTGTGAGTTTAAAGATTTAAAAGTAATAAATTTTTAATAAATATATTTATCACATTAAAATTATAAAATTGTGATAAATATTTTTGATAAAAAATTATTATTTTGAAATACTTAAATTTAAATTTTAAAAAAGTGAAGATAACAATTTATATATTTATAACATGTGAATGTGATATGTGAAAGAGACTTGTTGCTTTTGTGATATGTGGTGGGTGATGGCACTCAAACGTTCGGGATTGGGTGTATTGCGTTTTTGCCAGATGTTGGTATCCGACCATAAAACAATCAAGTTGCTCCACTCATTACACGTGTATCCCACGATCAACTAAATCGTTTTGATATTTTTTTTTAATTATTTTTTAAAATAATTATTATTAAAAAGGTATTTTATAAAATAAATACTAATATATATAATACTTTAATTATAAAATTATTTCATATTTTTTATTTCATAAAAATAAGTTTTATACAATATACCCATTATCCAATATCGGACGTCTCCAGAATCTTCCGTAGGGTACTTTTATATTATTATAATATTTTATAGATTTTGTTAATCATTAAAGTAGAGAATAAATAATTAATAATAATAAAATTTATTAAAAAAATATATTTATTATATTTTTATAAGTTTAATATAATAAATATATATCTTTTTTATAAAAATTTTCTATTTATAAATACTCAAACTTAACTTTAAGAATTAAAGTTAACAAAATCACAATACCTTATAAAATAGGAGAGTATTTTATATTTTTTTATATATAGAATAATTATGACCATTAAATTTATATTTTTATAATAGTATAATAGTTAAAAAAATTATATATAATAAAAAAATTATGTATAATGATTTTTATTAAAAATTATAAAATAAAAAATTAATAAATTAATAGTATAAAATTTTTAATTTTTAATAATAATAAATTTATTATAATTAATATAAAAAAATAAACTTTTAAAATAGTCTTTCAAATAACAATAATTGTGTATATTAGTTTTATATTGATTTAAATAGTCATGATAGTTCCTCCTATATTGCATAGATAAATTACTATCATTAATAAACTTTTGAAAAATGCTAACTTTTCTATTAAGTACTAAAGCAATATTGTTTCATACATTTTCTACTTTCTTTTTTTATCCTTTTCTGAGTCATGTTGTTTGTGGTGGTCTATACTTTAAAGTCGTTGTAACATCTCTTTCTTTTTTTTCTACCTTTAGAACTACATCGTTCATGCTGGTTCATGCTCCTAAAGCTTTCACCACATTCATTTCTTTTTTTTTTTTAAATCTATTCATTGTTTGATCTAGTGTACTACTTTATTTTTATTTTAGATGAAATATTTGTTAACATGTTTTACTAATAGTCTAATCGATACAAAATATATTATAACATTAATAGATATGAAAATAGTCGTCTCACATTAAGAGAGTTGAAACGTGCAAACATAATTGATGCAATGCATCACACTGATCAAGAAGAAGACATTAACAAGGGTTTGAGATAAATATACTATCATTATCATTAATTGTATGGAAAGGGTCATAAAAAGTTCGTGACAATATGTAAACAGGGGATGTATGATAGGGGCAGTTAAGAAGGTTGTGATTTAGGTTTTAAAAAATACTTGTATCTAATCTCGTACCCGAGCAGATAGTAACTTTAATTTTTATACTTATAGTCTCTGCGTACTCATATATCTATAAATGCACTCGTTTAAGAAAAAAACACTTATAAAGAAAAATATGTTTATATAACTTACAAAAATTCAATGTGTAGTTGCCAAATAAAGTATAAGTATAGATAGAAAATAAATATTTAAAGATTAAAGTTGTTAAGTGTATCTGTGAATACTAATTTTTGCATCACTGGAATGGCCTCCAAATTTTTTTAATTTATAAAAATAAAATAAAATTATTTTACAGAAAAATGTAAAATTTTGAAAAAAGAGAAGATCGGATCATGAAAATGGAAGTCTTGTACCGTGTAAGTTTACACTACAGTTTCAAAACTGACTCCATACATAAGAAAGGAAAACTCAGAATTTTGACATTTTGTAAAAAAATCCTAAAACGTGAGATGGAAGGAGGTATAAAAGATCAATATCAGAAATGAAAAAATTAAGAAAGTGACAAAATCTGTTAAAAAGAAGAGGAAGATCTGGAAAAGAGGGGACAGCAACCATTTTTGAGAGAAAAAATGGAAAAATCTTAGAGAGATATGAGAGAAAGGGGAAAGGAAAGATCAGAAATAAAAAGAAGAAAAATTCATTATCGACTTCAGATATTTCTTGCTTGCTTTATTACTTTGTTCGTAGTTGAATACCTTTGAAGAACAACAAGTGATAAAAATAAAATGTTTTCGGAAGAGCTGGGTAAATGAGAGATGGAAGGAAAATATTAAAATCAAATTGTGAAACCACCATTATTACTTTTGCTATACATTTTAATAATATAATATGATGCTATTTGATAATATTGATTTGAAAAGGGCCTAGAGTCTAGACCACGAAAATGCTACCTACTCATGAAGGGCCAAGACTTCCATCAACTTTTCACCTTTTTATTTTCTTCTATTTTTTTAAAATTTTCTAATGGAAAGTTTTGTTCCAACTCTATTACGATTACCTCTGCAGCATATCTCTCAACTTTTACTTTCCTTTCATTTACGTCTTTTATCTTAAATGTTTTATTTTTATTTTCTTTTTCCTTTTTTTTTTACTTTTAGATTTTTAAGTTTTGTTTGACTTCTTTTTTTCCTTTTGTTAAAAGAGTGAACATTATTATTTTTATTATTCTTATCTCAGATTATATTTTAGTGATACAGTTTATCTTAAATAATATATTTTATTTATTTATTTTATTTTATTTTATTTTATTATTACCTTTTTATTAATTCTCTTAGTTTTATTTTATTCTAATATAAACAATAATATTTTCTTTAATTTTCTTTTATATTATCTCATTATTTTTGCTTTAGTTATTATGTTAGTCACTTATCATTTAAAATTATTATTATTATAATTATAGTTGTTGTTGTTGTATATTTATAAAATATAGATAATGATTTAATTTATATTTATGGTTTATCTTTTTACATTATATTTATTTTATTTTATTTTTTTAATTAATAAATAATAATATAATTACATCAATTTATAATACTAATGTATAACTTCTTTATCGTCATTTATTATAAATTGATAAAATTTATGTGTACCTATGTTACCAAGACTTTATGCAATATTAATTTATCATGTATTGTCTTAAATTAATTAGTTAACCACTTTAATAATAAATCAAAATATATTTTCTTTCTAATTACTAATTTACTTAGTAATCAATCAACTAATTTAAATCTAAATTATTTTATTAATAAAATAATTTATAATGCTAATGTGTAGCAACTCTACCTTCATGCACTGTAAATTGTCAAAACCTATATGTACTAACGTTTCCTTAGGTTTTATACAATATAAATTTATCAAATAAAGTTTTATTTATTTTTTATTAAATATTTTTTTAATCAATTCAAATATATTTACTCCTTTCATTAAATAAGATTAATTTCATATTTTAAAATTTCTTGAATCATACTTCCAATTTTGATAAATTAAATAGTTAAACATTTCTTTACTTATTTATACAAATTTTTACAACATCGATGTGTAATTTACATTGTCTTTGATTATTCAATAAATTATAAGAGATTTATGTATAGCTTATTATTGCAATCGGGGTCACGATGGGACGGCAATGACAAGGAGTCGCTACCAAAGTTTATTAAAGAAAACATTGGAAATTTTTTTGATTAAAATAAAAAATTCGAAACTAAATTTGGGCTCGGGAGTCGTTTACGTG